CGCGTGTACGGATTCAAAGTGCATGCTTCGGCTGCTTTGATTCGCTGGCAGAGCGCCAAGCGCGACGAAATGCGTCGGCGGCTTCGCAAGCTTGAGATCGACACTGGCTTCCGTGACGAAATGGAGGACGAAGAAGACGACGACGAGGAGCTTGAATTCGAAGGTATAGATGGTCGTATGGCTGTTGTAGAAGGCCTTTAGGGGGCTCTTGTCTCATTCCCTGAGGAGAGCGCTAGGATAGGTACTGGTAATAGAATCACAGTCATACCGACTGGCACCGAAGACGATTCACACAAATTCGCTCAAATGGACATGAACGAAGCTCCCCTGAAAACATTTATCGTGTTCTAGCACTTATTTGGGGTTGTTGAGTGGACACGAATCTGCTTCTGCAAAGGCATTTGCCGTCTCTCGGAGGCAACAAGAGCAGTTCTATTGTTTCTAAAGCTGTTGGTCGGGTTCTGGATTGGCGTTTGGCGGCAAGTCATATGGACTGGGTTGGGCTGGTATAAACAACGAGTGTGAAAGGTTTTATTATTGTTCTTGAATTATAGCTGTTCAACAAGAAGCGTCTTCTTTCCCCTTGTTAACGCATTTGGTCGTGAATCTTACTGATCGCCCGCTGGTCATAAACCCTTGCTCTGAAATGGCAAGCAATTATCTTGATGTCTCACTGATAGTCACGTTGGCTGAGCTTGGTATCAATCGATAGTTTCGTTGTTCGTGTCATGTCGTGTCAAAAAATCAAGTGGTCTATCTGCCCGCAAGCTGTTCGCTTTCCATTCATTACAAAGAAGAATCCAATCCTGACCAATATTCATAGGTGACTATACCATCCATCTGAATTACATACATATACACATGCCATCACCGCATGTCTTGCTGTGAATCAAAACCTTACTTGAATTGCGACGTTCCGCCGCTCTAGACACGATTCTCAGCATGATGGGCGTCACCGTACCGATTTTCAGTGAACCGCTCATCAGGGAACCTGTTTTCTAATCGATCAGAATCATCCATCCTCTGTAGCTCCACGTCTTGGAAGTTTTGGCTGGGCCTAGGCTCTTGGTCTGTATTCTGGCGAACATTCCGTTGAGCGAGGGCAGATGTCATAGGTGGGTATGATGTATCTCCAGAATGGCCCACGTCGCGACGAGAAGAATATACGCCGAGCTCCTCGTCTGTACCAGCATAGCCTTGTCGTCCAACACCTGCCCAGAACGCACGTTCATCACTTCGGGGACCCCATGCCCAGCCTGCGCCAGCACGAATGGGCAAGTGATAATATCGAAACGCAAAAATTGCGGCAACCAGGCCCATCAAGTATCCGAAGAGAATATCAAAACCGTGGTGGCGGCGGTCGTGCCAGCGCGAACCAGCAATGAAGATTGAGACACCAAAGGGGAGAAGGCCAAGAGCAAGGAGGTAAATCGGGGGCGCAGCAGCTTGGCGACGTAGAGATTGGACCTTGGCATTGTCTTGTCCTGCGCGTTCCTTTGTGGGAACAGAAGAAAATGATCCATCTGGGCCGCGGGCACGCGAGGGCTCGTAGGGATCGACGACAGAGCCGGTGTGGATTCGAGAAGGGAACGCCGCATGGCTGGCTGCTCCTGCTATGGCAGCAGCGGAGGGCATCACGAAGGGAATAGTGACTGCGAACTTGCTGGCCATGAAGAGCGAGGCGTAGATGAGGCCACCGGCGGCAGACGACGAGTGGCCGCTAGGGTATGAGCGGAAACCGTCGTCAATCTTGTACTTGTCCGTTTGTTGGCAGATATCGGCCGAGACAAGCTGTCCCGTCATGCTCTGCCACTTGAAACCACCAACGACATACTTGTCGATGTTTTTCCAATCGGGATCGCAGCGGGCAAGGAGATCCGGTCGAGGCTTGCCGAACAAATTCTTCATAGAGCTCGTGAAGAACCATGACAGTGTGAGAGATAGTACGAGGCCGAGGACACCAACATGAAGCTCCCAGAGCTTGCGCTGCCAGATAAGAGTCTTTGGGGTACCCTTAGGTACGGTCGGGCCAGGAACGAATATTAGGGAAACGACGGCGACAATGACGAAAGGAACGCCAATGGCGAGGATGAACAAGAGGTAAGCGGGGACGAGTTCATGTTCGGCAAATGGATATCTTTGAACGACGTTAGCATATTAGACAATTATCGAGAAATGAAAACATCCTACGTACGAGATATTAGGGTCAACAAGTGAGAATGGTCGTTTTGCAGGCGCAACTCTATCGAGCCAACCTCCGATACCAACAAAGACAAAGCAGATAATCCAGTCGAAGAGGTAGGACAAGATCAGTCGGATGGGAAAGCGACGGCCTCGCAAACCACCAGATAATGTTCCTAAACCTGAGTCGCCCATCTTGTAATAGGAATGCATGTTCTACCAGGAGAGGGGAGAAGAAGATCGAGGGCCGAATCGGGGGGGGAGGGAAGGTTATTTGAGGTTTGGGGCTTGTCGTCACACACTCAATTGAGCCCCCGTTTCCCGTTTCTGCGTGCACTTGAGAGCCAGACAGTTTACGCCTCCGTCTGCGTTGGGGTCTGGGGAGGGCGTGTGGGCTTGTAGAGAGAGGTGTGTGTATGAGAGAGAACGAAAAGAATGGCCAAGCGGCTAGTCCAAAGGAGGTGGGCTTAGGAGGAGCAGCAGCGGTTTTGGCATGCGACAATAAGTCTGGGGTTCCTCAATGACTTGGGCAAGAAATGAAGGGATAATGGTTATGGTTATGGGTGTGAAGCACCGGGGGATATTTCCAGTCGTCAAAGCAATCTCACTCGCCAGTCGCTTTTGTATCTTCGTTAATCGTTAATCTTGTGCTTAATATCGATGTCAGATGGAATTCTTCTGTTTGTTTGTGGCAGCGTTGGACTGATCTGCGGACGATTTTACCAGAAAATGGTCCTTTGGAAACTGATGTAAGAAATGGATGGGGCTGACGGCTTCGGTAATTGGAGGTTACGTGTACTGCGGCACTCCTAGCCTTGGGCCCTACTAACGTACCAGCTGGAGTCTGGGCGGGGGCCAAGGATCTTCTTTGGGGATCATGTACCGCCCAGAGGCAAGTGTTGCAAGGCTTATTTTCTACAGAGCCTTCCGATACTAGCTTAAATCATGAAAGACCTTCACTTTGAGACTTTTTCGATGGTGTTTGAGCATGCGCGCGCCTGTTTTTTCTAAAGTACAGCTGCCGCTAGAACGAGGCTATGACGAACCCCCTGTAGCACCAGTGGCGCCTGGGAGCCTCATTGGGGAAATGCTCGCGTGGTCCCGCTTATGATCCATTCTCTCCGGGGGTCTGTACGCGCATCGATGGCTATTTTCCAACTGACATCGGCGCACGAGGAGCCCGAGGATGGGATACATAAGTTTTGTTTAATTTTAGTTCGCAGTGTTTCGGCACCTGTCTGTATCCTTGTCAGATCTGGCATTCAGTGAACGCCGAATACCATCATGTGGTTCAAGTGGAATCTTCAAGCCGGCCTTTGTCTCCCTTCATTCAGGTAGATTGATGATATGGATTCTCGAGTGAGAACAGAGCAAGGAATCAGGCACTTCGGCAGGTGCTAACAGCTTCCACTGTGCTCGGTGTCTCATTTAGTTAACCATGCCTTCGTTATGGTTACGGCACTCCAGTAGACTAGTACCTAATACCATCGGACAATCGTCACCCCCTTAGCTCCATCGGGCATTTTGGAATGCACGTATGTACTTGGGTACTCCGTACGTGCTAGCCAATCCCTAGCACACAAAATATCCTAGTCAATCATCCCGTCCTTCTCTTTTTGCGGTCTTGTTTCCCTGAGAGTCATAACTCCATGACCTGGCTAGCCTGGATTCCCAGGCCTTGCCATGATCTGCGTTTTTCTCTTCCCGAACCTTCCTATCCAATCAAGTTTCGCGAATGAGAAATAACCTTAATTCTGTTACCCGGCCTGCGACGTCAACGATATTTGTACCAGTTTTATTAGTGAAGCGAACACAAAAAGGTCGATTAACAATTGTTGACTCTACAAGCTGCTGCTCAATTTCAAGCCTCCTTTCGGCTTGGTAAGTACCTTAGTAGGTACCCAGTTCAATATAATTTAGTACTGCTGAACCTGTCAACAAGCCTTAGCTCTTGGCAGCAAAAGACTCGGATTACGATTCGTGGCTTTGTGAGGCTGTGCAAAGTACCTGGGTACCTAGGTAGCCGTCTGCCCAGGCTTGCACGGACAGCTCCGTCCAAAAAATGGCATTGTAATCACTTCTCCGCATAGGCATAAGACGAACTCATTGGCTCTTCCGTAAACAAAACGGCTATTCGGAATCTTGTGTATACAAGCTGAAGACTACTAGGTAAATACCTAGAGCAGATGATATACACTATACAGTATCACGGAACCAAGCAATTGCGTTCGGCTCAGTACATACTAGCTATCTCCACTCACTCAGCCTGAACCCTTTTTTTTTTCGGTTGTAGCCAAAGGACCCTTGCGCCTTGAAAGTTGAGACTGCTGTGAGTCGGTGAAACACTATACCCTTGTTGAAACTTGAATGGCCTTTTGTCTGGTCAGAGATTACAATAACACACTCATTGTTCGATAGGTCCGGCTATATCGGCTGCTTTGAATAGGATCCGATCGTTTACCAGGATAGGATGTTTGACGGTCCATCACCAGGTTCTTGCATCAACCTGTCACCTATGCTTCACCACCGCCAGCGTTTACGGTCCGGTCCTAGGGATATCTATGATACAGGGCTGTGCTGGACTAAGCATGAAACCAGCTTGTAACAGTTCCACGTGCAATGTCAAATTGCCAAACATCCAATGATGGATTATATATGTTCCTACGTGGTTCTTTGATTAAGACGCCAATTGGGCCCTTATCTATAATGTCACATATGATACAATGCAGCGTCATAATATACAATGCACTGACTACCGACTTCTTTCTCAGCCTGGCATGTGCTTTTCATCCAACGCATCGACTCATCACTCCTTTCCCTTAATTGGCCTTGTCTCGGCGCTTTCCGTTGTTTCGAGGTCGAGGTACCACAACCCACTTGTTCCTGTTGTGCTTGCGTCGGGTCTTGTAACCACTCTTGGTCTGAAAATGGTGTTAGCATTGCTTCATATGCTTCGAGGCTCTTAGGTAGTCTTACAGGAACACCCCAAGGAGAGACAGGGTGACGATTACCCTTCGATTTACCTCTACCACCACCGTGAGGATGGTCGACTATGTAAACCATGTCAGCAGCAGTCCGGCTAAGATGCACCTATGTTCCTCACCTTTGTTCATGGCAACACCACGGACTGTAGGTCGAATGTTGAGCCACCGGCTTCGTCCAGCCTTGCCCAGCTGGCGGTAGTGGTGGTGAATGTTGCTAGCCACGCCAATGGTCGCACAAGCGTCCTTGCTAACTCGTCGAACTTCACCGCTCTGAAGTCTAACCTCAACGTACTTGCCAGTCATGACCCTGGTACCGTCGTCTTTCGTCTCCTCGTTCTTGTTGACAACCACAGCTGAGGTGCCAGCACTACGACAAAACACGGCGCCACGTCTAGCTGCAGATCCCACAGCAAAGACTGTGGTACCGACAGGAATCATGTGCATAGGTAGACAATTACCACGGAAGGCAGTCTTCGCAGCTAGAATACCCGGATCAATAATACCACCCATGCTGTCAAGTAGATCTTGAGGAATACCGGCACGGTAGCTGTGCACAATATCCCCAGACCTCAACCCGTCAGCGGCAAGAATGTAAGTGTGACGTCCGGTAGCCTTCTCAGTGACGAGAGCAATGTGCGCACTCCGTCCTGGGTCGTATTCAATGCGTTCCACCAGGTGAGGTCCTGGTCGGTTGCGGATGAAGTCAACCGTTCTTATTCTTCTCTTCGCACCGCCACCTCGGTGTCGCACGGTGATCCTACCAGACACATTTCGGCCACCCTTTGCTTGGCCCTTCTTAGGGAATGTTAAGGGAAGGAAAGGTCGTCCTTTCCAGAGATGATCGTTGATAGGTCGCTTGAGATGTCTCACGCCAGGCGTTCGGGGTTTATAGACTCGCAAGATAGCAGATTGACTCTCGGGATTCTCAGCGAGTTCTTTCGGGCTGGCGGTGGTCTCGTTAGAACGTCTGATAGTTGCATATGTTCGTGGGAGCGATCGGCTCAGAGCCATGCGCAAAGCGCTCTGCCGCGCAGCAGCAAATTGGAGGCCGGACTGAAGCATTGTCGGTCTCGGGTGTTTCAAGTGTTGGAATTTTAGCAGTTGGTCTTCATCGGAGTCGGTTTGTGTGGTTGTATGGTTTGATATGAACTCAGAGGGGAAGACAACGACTTTCCTCAGCGAGTCGCTAGAGGGCAGACCAGACGTGCTATCAATATTAAATGCTTCCTAGCAGCTCAAATAATCTCTAGCTAGTAGCAAGAGACGAATTGGCGAATCCAGGACCGTCAGAAACGAAGCCGACTATCGCCATACTGGTGTCGTTCGAGATGTTCAAATTTCATCGGATAATGAACAACTTTGTGCCGGAGGGACAATCTGAGCCACAGAAATCGCACCGCCACATGTAACCGCCACAAACGCCCTCACGTAGGTAGCTTCCACATGGCTCGTGCTCCGTGAACAACCTCAACCCGCGACGAGGTTGGGCCAATGAGGTTGAACTCGAAGGCGGTTGGCCGGCGGTTGCTAGGGCGGCAGTCCCATAAAAACACAGTCTTGAGCCGGAAGTAGTACGTAGCTTTTCCAAGGTTCCAGGTTGACAGCAGCTTTCGCGACTTGACCTGGATGCAGGCGCGTTTTGTACTGATCTCATCCATCCCGCCCCTCCATACTAAATGTTAAGACCCGTCCACCGTCGTCCGTTTACCTTGACCTGGCTCTCTCTCTTCTCTTGATATTCAACTTCGTAAATGGGCCTCTCGTCTCTACCATCTCTTTTACCTTCATCCTTGTTCGACCATCGGGATATTGCCATTTGTTCAGGGTTTTGGTTCATCCTACCATTGTCATTATCCTCCGCCGTCTGATATCGAGCATCTCTGCTGAACTGTCCAGCCCTACTCGACATTTTTCGCACCCACTGCCTGCACCTCACGCCGCAGTATTCAATTCTTCGCGTGTTTTCCATACGTCCTGGGAAAATAGCCAAGCTATCGCATCACCCCTGCTCCTAACGAGCTCCAATCCTTTTCTTTCGAGTGGGACATCACGCTTGGGAGCCTGACGTACCTAGAGCAACGGAGAGCAACGCGACTTGGCTAGCCGCGTACGGGTACGTACCCACTTTGGTGGATCTCCACAACTCATCTTCCTTACCCGCTCGTCAAAACACTTCTATCGTCCTCACAACCACAACCGTTCTTGAACATAAACATCGTCTCCGCCCAACCTTGCCCATTGCTCCTGTCCTTTTACCTCTTGTTTACTTCCTCCGCCAACAACTTTCTATTCCGGGCTGGGTCACCCTCGACTAACATACAGCATCAGTCATCGCTCCATCTATCACGACTCACAACATTCCTTTCACGGTGTTTTCACCAGGCTTGACCCAAAGGTTGGTAGCTGAATTCCTATTCTGATTCGACTGTCTCGGCAACTCGAATGCTGTTTGTCTATATCCTTTCGTGATCTCAGCCATCTTTTCCTTTCATGTTTCTCATTCGACGCGTTGACTAACTGGACTGTTCCAGCACTACCCCCCTTGTTAATATTACACCGGTCAACAACTAGATAGCCAAGATGCCTCCAGTAAGTGCTCAGACGCGACCGAGAAGCTTGGGTTCCTCCTCCGATCAGCCATTCTAACTTGAGTAGCAGGCTCGGGCCACTCGTACGCGCCTCGCCGGCAACGAGAACGACGAGAACAGCGGCACGACGCGTCTTACAAGAGCCCAAGCTGCCGCTCTTAAGGTTGATGAGCTATCAATGCCTGCTAAGGCTGCCCTGCAAACAAAAAAGTCCACAGTCAACGGTACCGCCGCCAGTAACACGCGGAAACGCGCTGCATTGGGCGATGTCAGTAATGTAGGAAAGGTCGATGGTGTTGCTGGAAAGAAGGCCAAGGGATTGGTCTCAAAGGCTGCTCAGCCCACCGGTATTGAGAAAAAGACTGCGCGTCCTACCACAAGAACTGCTCTCGGCTCGAAGCCTACCAACTCCAAGACTCAGTCCGGTTCCGGCACCATAAACAAACGAAAGGTTGTAACAGATGCCGCCAACACCAAGATAAAAGCTCCCGTCAACGAAAATGAGCATCCTTCCAAAAAGCAGCATCTTATTCCTGAGGAGCGTGAACGATCAGAGACACCCGTCGAGGCAGAAGTCGAGAAGCCTGAGGTCTCTCTAGACAAGGCGGAGGTACAAGATGCACCTTTCGAGTACCCCCCTGGAGTCAAGGACTTGGACAGCGAGGATCTAGAAGATCCACTTATGGTTGCCGAGTATGCCAATGAGATCTTTGAGTACTTGCGCGATCTTGAGTGCAAGTCAATTCCCAATCCTCAATATATGTCTCATCAGGACGAGCTCGAATGGAAGACGCGCGGTATCTTGGTCGACTGGCTCGTTGAGGTCCATACCCGTTTCCATCTACTTCCCGAAACCCTCTTCCTCGCCGTCAATCTCATTGATCGCTTCCTATCAGAAAAAGTGGTTCAGCTTGACCGTCTCCAACTTGTGGGAATCACTGCCATGTTTATCGCTTCCAAGTACGAAGAGGTCCTCTCCCCTCACGTCGAGAACTTCAAGCGCATTGCCGACGATGGTTTTACTGAGGCCGAGATTCTCAGTGCCGAGCGATTTATTCTGAGCACTCTCAACTATGATCTCAGCTACCCCAACCCTATGAACTTCCTCCGTCGTGTCTCCAAGGCAGACAATTACGATATCCAGTCTCGAACTATTGGAAAGTACCTGATGGAGATTGGCCTGCTGGACCATCGATTCATGGCCTACCGACCTAGTCACATTGCTGCCGGTGCCATGTATTTAGCGCGACTGATGCTTGACCGTGGCGAATGGGTACGTAAAATTCACATTTTTAACGTGTCAACTGCTAATGGATTTGCAGGACGAGACTCTTTCTTACTACGCTGGTTACACTGAGGACGAGATCGAGCCTGTCGTTCATCTTATGGTCGACTACCTCGCTCGCCCTGTCACTCATGAAGCATTTTTCAAGAAGTATGCTAGCAAGAAGTTCTTGAAGGGTATGTAACTCTCCTAGCGCGCAAAGAACAGTCAGCTGACAAATTACAAAGCTTCAATTCTTGCCCGCCAATGGGCAAAGAAGAATGCTGTTCTATTTGGCATCACCGATGTTCATCTGAGTCTTGATGAGCTATCATAGGCACTTTCAAGTCACAGCTTTTTATGGCACATCTTATTTGATATTCTGAAGAACAGGATACTCGGCTAGCGGTTGGATTCAGCTACACCGCCGCCTTACGACGATAATAGATCACCGACGCCCTTTGGTAAGCCTTCTGGGCCATCATGATACCACACATTCCACTGTCGATACCTGAGCGAGTATGCTTTCTTTGAAAAGCACTTGCCGTATTGGTCTGGGTTCATATTCTCACTGTCTGATGTTACGGACAGCATCTGCACTTTTTTGTTTGCGATTGTCTGGTTTTTGCACATTTCCCGAAGCATGCTTTTCGTCTTCATACATGGCGCATGGAGTCACTGGCGAAGGAAGTTAAGGGCTTGGTTCGGCTGGTTGGAGTTGGCTGTGCAGACGGCCTATTCATGGGGCACAGGACGGGGAGTAATGGAGGCTGTACGACATGGGCCACGGGGTGGCGGATGCAAGCTGAGCTTGACGTCTGGCGGTCTGGCGATGTTTCTCAATGACTGGAGTAGGAGAACTCGGTACGGCTCTTGCGCATCTCGGCTACCGTCGTGAAAAGGGCTTGTGATAGAAAATTGTACATATACCATGACCGGATTACGGAAAGAGCCCAGGAATGGCAGGAATGAAGTTTTACATTTCACGAACACATGGACCACAGTGGGTGATTGTGGCCATGGCCTTGGATGGTTACAGTGGGTAAATGCGCGCCCGTGCTAGTTATTGGCCGCGTGCCTAGATTCGGACGGATAGACCTGGATGTTTACGCAGAACATGATTAATGTCCAAACGGTTGCCGTTGGTGACGGCTTTTATAAACACGGTTTTTAATGCACTAGCCTGGACTCGACTTTGACTGTTGGGTCGCGTCACGTCAGGCCCACCAGAGGGGCAGAAACACGCTCTTTTGGGCCTGTGGCTTGTGTGATCCGCACTAACCTCGACGGGATGTTAGAACACCAATCACCATTAAACCTCATCCAGCACCAATCTTGAAAGACACTCCTACCTCCACTAACTGTAAATACAAGCCACTTAATCCACTTACCTAATCCAGGTGCTCAAGCTGTCGCATATATTGAACGGCAACAAAGCTACTGCCAATCGAGTGAGCATTGGACCTTACACAGCCAATAAGTTCGCACCTATCGATCGAATAGCATGGCGCCGGTCCTTCGAGCAAGACAGAGCTTATCAAAGGATAAGTTCTCTGGCTACTTTGGCAACCTCAGAAGTCAGCCCTACAACGACCCCAATAACTCACGGGGCTCGAATCCCCATAGGTATGTGTTATCTGACCATGGGCCTATTCTCTTATCCCTCTTGCTGATTTTGATGGTGAAGCTTGCGATGCATCGCTTGGAACCCCCTCGGAACTCTGGTAGCAACAGGGTCGTCAGAGAAAACCCTCAGAGTGTGTAAGTCAACCAAGCATGCGGGCCTATAAGGCCACTGGAGCGAGGCTGAACGAGATAGGGAACCCTGAAAAGCCTCACGTGAAGTTTTCAACGGAGCTCAAGGGCCACTCAGCATCTGTTGAGAAGGTCGCATTCAACCCAACAAAGGATGCAGAGCTTTGCAGTGTGAGCAGTGACGGCGTGGTCAAGTTCTGGGACGTGAGGACAAAGGCATGCTTTAACGAGGTCAAAGGACTTGGGGACGCTTTTACTCTTGTCTGGGCACCCGATGGAGCCACGCTTCTCGTTGGGAACAAGGCAGATACCATCTTCGTTCTGTCGCCATCTCAGTCGACGCCTCTCAGCACGCATCAACAGTCCGTGCAGACCAACCAGATCGCATTCTGCTGGAGCGGTGAGAAGATCTTCGTCACGACAGCAGAAGGACGTATCCGAGTCTTGTCGTACCC